TGCATGCAGTAACAGAGAGTGTGCCTAACTGTTATGCTGCTGCTGTATAATCCTTCACTTCATTAGGCTTCACCTTCATTAAGCCTCTGCTGACCTATACACCTTTTCTTTTTATCCATTATTTTGCAGGCAACTTAATTGTGCACAGAAGATCAGTTCTATTCAACCATGCTGCAACACATACAATCTCTTATGCGATTCTTTTTTACTGCTTTGAATGTATTGTGTATCAAAGAGCACATGAAACAGAAACATTGAACTCAGTGCAAATATGCATTATAATAAAATAATGTAGCTATTGTCCTCACAAGAAATTATTTATTGTTAAAAAATAAACATTTGTTTAAAATGCAATATTATATTAATTTCAACCAAACTACGGTAATTTTATTGAAGTTAAACTAAATGTTTTCTTGTACCTCCCACATTAAAATGTTTTAGATAAAATTATGATTAAAAGCATAATGTGCAAGAATGCGATTCTGTAAGATTGTTTTTTGTTCTTCTTCTTTGCAATGTATTTTGGTGTACTATACATGTTGTAATATGCCAAGCCTATGCAATACTCAGTTTTATACAATATGTTACATCAGGTCTCTTCTCCATCATTCTGTCCAATGAGGGGCCCTTGTCCTGTAAAAAAAGTGTATAGATCACTGCCTTTTACTGGACTGTTGTCCTTAATAATCACACAGAACAGAATGAAAAAAAAAGGCCTATATCATAACTAACCACATCTTTGACAGATCTAGTTAAATTGAATATACATTTATGGTCTAATTTGTTTTAGGTATTGTACATTCATTAGATGCATTATTTCAAAATGCTCAGCATATGAAATGCTACTTAGCCCCTGAAAGTTTGTCTTTTAAGTTCCCAAAGTCTCAGATAATGAGTGACAGTGCTCCTGTTTTGCATATTTTTTTTAAATGTAACAGAATGCCGTTTATTATTATTATTATTATGAATATTAATCAATGTTTGTACAAAACCTGGTGATCATGTTATGCTAGCATGATTTAAAAAATGTGTGCTTCTTTGAAAACCAGAACATCTGTGTGACGTAGGAAAGAAGAGTGCAGAAGCAATATTTATTAAACATTGTACATAATATGTTTTGTTTTACATTTTTCCAAATCAAGCTTTCAGGTTTAAATTCTTGATTTTGTATCTGAGATATAGCATGGTTTTGTCTACCTCTGGACTGCACTGTATATTACATTTTCTTTGTGCAGTTTCCAGCCATCTCTTACTGCACCGCTTTTGCTTGAATCCTGCAACACAGAAAACTGCCATTGTGTTTAATTGATGGCTGCTGTGAGACATACTATATATTCATGGTTCACCATCTACTTCTACTGTCATGAGCAAAATGTACTGATGAAACACTTTGTGCTCTATCACAGGGGTGCTTCACTCCTCAGGTTTTGATTGCATATGGCCCCATGACTAAATTGGGTTTTGAAACCAGGACACGTGTTCTGAGGAGCATGTTCAGGAAACATCATGCACAAATCACCATATCTGCCATATGTAATGATTGTCACTCCTCTGTTGAATTTGCTGAAGTGTCATTTCAAAATAAGTGTACCATATCTTGGAAATGATGGAATTTGTGCATAGGACATTATTGAGAACATGAAATACAAGTATATAGGCCTACTTGATTCATGCTGTTTAAACATTTGAGCATAGTAAAGTGCTTGCCCTTTGGATCATTGCGTTGATGTTTACATGTTATACAGTGGGCATAAAAACATTAGCAATAAAATGATTTGATAATGTAAACGCATAGTGCTGGTTCAGCTAATGGAAGTGCATCACACTCTCATCACAAAAAAAAAGCTGATAGGTTGATGAGAGGGGCCTTTGTGCATTTCCATACTGTGAACACTAGGTGGCAATATTTATTTGAAAGATGTTTTAATACGTTCTTGGATTCGGAATATTGGACTGTGTTTGACTTGCCTATACTTAGATAAGTGATTCTTAATGAACTCTGTTTATTCAATGTTGTGGTCAGTTATATCTCATGTTCAGTCTCTGCAGTTGGTATGCCTTAATTCAATTTGTAATTCAGAATTTGTATATTTTTAACATGGTGAATTCATATCTCAAGTTTACTACACTGAAATAGCACTAATATGACATATGTTGAATAGCACTAACTGAAATGCAATTCACTATGTTAAGCTGGAAGAAGCTCAAAACATTTTTGTAATATAAGTGTCCTCTGGATGTTTTGGTCTGAGCTTTGTGCTAATGTAACATCACTGCATTTGTCATGTAACAGAAATACTGCCAACTGGAAATTAAATGTTTGTTGTATTTCAGCAAAGGCACTTGCTATCAGGGACGTGCACAGGCATTTTGAGGGGCAGTGGCCGAAATCACTGGGGGTGGGGCAGTTATTGCTTTGCAAATGGCGTGCTGTGATTGTCACTGAGTAGAGATTTGCAGATCATTAATGAATCTAGGTTATAGGTGCATTGTCATGGTCTGTTGAGTAAACCTGCCCTGAACACTTGCTGACAATCAATAATAGTTGAGTTTTTAGGGGAAACCCGTTATTGTTCTAGATTGAATAAGGAACTGCTTTTGTGTCAGAGAGTTTATGTTACAAAAGTATTAACTATCCCATCTTCTAATTGCACTACCAGATTCTCCATAGTATTTGGGAGATTGTTAATTCAGACCAAGTACCATTAACTAGAAGAGCATCGAAGTGCAGCTATACTTAAATGGCATTGTACTAAGTCCATGTTGATGCCAGGAGATGGCTGGAAGTGAATTCTTTGCCCCACATTAAATTTGGAAAAGGATGAAACAGCTCACTTCTAGATTGAATCTCTTTAACGCTGCTATTTTACACGAGGCAAGAGGCTTTTCATGTCAGAGCCACGTGATCCACCCACTGCAGTCAAGTCAAGTCAAGTCACCTTTATTTATATAGCGCTTTTAACAATACAGATTGTGTCAAAGCAACTGAACAGCATTAATTAGGAAAATAGTGTGTCAATAATGCAAAACTGACAATAGTAACACTAATTTTTCAGTTAAAAGGCAGTTCATCATTGAATTCAGTGATGTCATCATCCAGCTAAGTTCAGTTTAAATAGTATCTTTGCAATCAAGTCAACAATATCGCTGGAAATGAAGTGTCCCCAACTAAGCAAGCCAGAGGCGACAGCGGCAAGGAACCAAAACTCCATCGGTGACAGAATGGAGAAAAAAACTTGGGAGAAACCAGGCTCAGTCGGAGGGCCAGTTCATCGATATGATACCTCTTCATTCACTGCTATGAATTGATGGCGGTCAGATAAGTAGCAGTGTCAGAAACCAGTGTGTACCCCCACAGGAGTACATGAACCCACCCCCCAACCCTTCCGTCTCTTCTTGCCCCACCATGAATACCCTCTCAAACCCAGTGCTGAAGAGCTTAGCACTTTATTAAGGCACAGTGCATGACATAAATGCAGCATTGTGGTGTTATAACACTGATAAATAGACCTGCATCTCTAAAGGGGAGGTGTTGTGTTAATGCATTAATTACTAAAGTAGAACAGTACATCTCTGTAGCAGTTTAAACCTGTTATTAGAATACTGCGGCACTATAACCTTAACACATTTCTATGTCACTATTATCTTGTTACTATATCAGTGATACTTAAATGGGTTATCTTAGTTCTGATGCAAAAGCAGCATTCTACAGTATTATTCAATATAGTTAAACTTAGTCAACAGCTTTTGATTAGATGTGTATATATTTTATTATAAGTTAGAACATACAGTCCCATCAGATGGGATAGCAGTTTGGAAATTTAGTTTTTGCTAATTTCAGTTTTTGACATTAAGTTTTGTGCAACAGTTAATTGGTAAAAATGACATACTCATATAAAAAAGTAATTGCAGCGTGGGCGGTTAATGGATTGTGTCAGCCAGACCTTAATATAATGGGCTGCCACATTAGCACCAAATACACTGAACCATACAACAGTGACAAGCAGAAGGGCGATCTGTATCATTAGGGTGTATTTTAAGTACTGTATTTTACGAGTAGTAAACAGATGGACAGACATATAAATTAATAAATTAACCTGAAAGCTGAAGATGAGACGTCAGCAGAATTTGAATTGAGATGATTCTTTATGGGATGTGCCAAATTCACACATAAAGGATGAGTCAGATGTGACCATCTGTTGGACAATCCTCCTCTCTCTCCCAATTAATATATTTTTCTATCTCCTTCACTTGCTCGCTCTCGTTTACCCTTGCGAATTTCTCATACAAACCACAATCACGTATGATTGCGTAGAGAGAGAGCGAGAGAGCGAGAGAGAGAGGGAGTGAGTGAGTGAGTGTGTGTGTGTGTGTGTGTGTGTGTGTGTGTGTGTGTGTGTGTGAGAGAGAGAGAGAGAGAGAGAGAGAGAGAGAGAGAGACTATCACACCCCATTCACTGGCTCACTGTCAGTGTGAGACAGGCAGGGTATCGATTTTACAACATTCCTTCAAACAGCTTCGGAAGGAATCGCAGTGTTCTCGCTGTGCTAGACACCTGACCCTTAAATTACAACTCGTTTTGAACAAAATAGGAAATTTTGACGTGAATAACAATGCAATGAACTCTACCAGAAGAACTACGAAGAGCTGTGAAATAATTTGGAGAGCCCAGATGTTCCGCGAAGTGGTGCGCGCGTCACTCATATACGCCTATAGAGCCTGAGAACGCGCTTTCTGTCATGGACTTCATTTATTATCCGGATTCATGCAAAGTTATCTGGAATGAACTAGACATGTGGATCATGTAGCAGTCGCTTGAAAGACGAATTACGCGTCAGCTGTCTTCGGCACCCGGAATACCTGCGTGACAGGTTACCCATGTTCACATAGGACGTCTTTTTAATTGTTTTTTTTATTTTTATTTTATTGTTGTTATTATTATTATTTTTTTTTTTTTTTTTTTTTTTTTTTTTTTTTGGAGAATATGGAGAACGGAAAATGTGCTTTATGTAATCGTGTGTGAAACTCACAGCCGTGTGAGTAGATCGTCTGAGAAGAGGATGAGATTCCAGTCCTAATTCACAGGATCCTCTGGATTTTTCGCTAGGAATCGGAATGAAATCTGGCTAATTTTGCGCAGACAATCCAGTCTTGTTTATTTATTATTCCCAGTTATTGCGTTAACAGCTGCAAACGTTGAACAGCTAATTTAACTGAATACTCGAGATGGCCGCGATCGCCAGTTCTCTGATCCGACAAAAACGCCAGGCGCGGGAATTCAACAGCGAGCGGGTATCTGCCTCCAAACGCCGCCCCAGTCCCAGCAAAGACCCCCGCTCTCTCTGCGAGCGACATTTCCTGGGGGTCTTCAGTAAAGTCCGCTTCTGCAGCGGCAAGACAAGACCTGTTCGCCGGCGACCAGGTCAGTGCTGGATGCTTTTTAAGACATCAGCCCCCACCCGAAGCCTCTGCTGCAGTCTACAGCTCCTCTGAAGGAACATATATCCGCCAATGTATTTTTTTCTTTTATTTTTTTTGCAATGCCGCCTCCCCCCAAAATCTCACCTGTTTCATAGCTCACGTGCTGTTTATCGGTATTCACCAACCGATTTGTCATCCTAACAATCTGACTGCACAGCCGTTTTATGTTGATATATCTGATATGTTTTATTAATATTATTATTGCTGTTATCAATGAATTCAGTGGCTGGCATTTTGACATTTTGATCAGAGGCTGTGTGATTGTTAAAAGAAGAAGATGTTTATAGTGCAACAATGCAATTTAGTAATAGTCAGAATCCAGTGGCACTGCAGTGCACCACGGCTTTCTTAGATGAAATGTTTAGTGGTAAATGTTTCCCTGATGGAAGATCCCGTTTAAATTGTGTTTTGTAATATGACAGAACGATCTTGAACCAGGAACAAACAAGTAACATACCACCTTAAGCTGGTCAAGCTGGTATTTACAACAATTAATACACCAGCTAGAAACCACAGCTACCAGCTTAAGATGGATTTTCCATCAGAGACTATTTTACTGCAGTATGGGGAGAGATTGTTTACTTAGTTTTATTGATGGGCATGGTCTCACTGCCCACTGAACCACGCTATTGTCCTTTTTTGGCTCACATAAAATGGCACGAAGCGTGTGAAATGATAAAAAAAAAAAACTACACAGCTGTCCTCTCTTTCTCCTTCAAAACACCTTCTCATGATGTAGAACAAGCACATCCCCTCTTCCCAACATATGATCAGTTATTTGACGGCTGTTGCTGAAGGATTTGTCTGTAAAAATGTTGTTTTTCCTTCTCCCCCGTAAGATGTGCCCTCGAAACCTCCACAGGTGTCCCGTAAGGGCATCAGGCTAGGTCAGTAACTCAGCCTCCATCCTTGTGCTGTGTCTTCCAGTTACCCACCCCATTTCGTGCTCATGGGAGACTAGCTCCTGTCTAACGGCAGTCACCAATGTCTGCCTTGTCCTTGTAGTATGTTTCCGACTATTGTCTATCTCTCCGTCTTTGTATTATTTTTATGTACAGTATTTCTTATGCCTTTTCCTCTTTGTCTCTTCCTCCTTTTTTCTTTTTTCCTTCTTTCCTCCCCTCTGATCCCTTTTTTTATCTCTCTACACTCTACACATTATGCTTCTGTTCCCATCATTATGTGTACTCTGTCCCCTCTGTTTGTTTCCGTGCAGTGAGGCTAGTGTTTGCTCTGTGCTGCTGATGTGTTGTGTTTCTTTTGTCAGTTGTGATGACTTAAGTAGTCGAGGTTACCATTTACTATTTCATGATCATGACATCATTTACCAACACATCCGATTGTAACTGTTTCTGTTTATGGAATGGGGCCATATGGAACATGTATGGTTCAACTTTGTAAGGGGAAAATATGCAAACAATGTTGATGCAAATATGACATGCATTATCTCATGCATATATCTAGGTGCACACATGCTTAAATCCACATGTGAGTGCATACATTCCTATACAGTATGGGTAGAGACATGCATGTACATTAATCTCACAAACTCACATGTGAGGAACATGTCCGAGTCATATTTCACCCCAAATATCCAGTGAAAGGGAAGAAGAAATATTATTTTGCACAAAGACATTTAATCCCAATTTAGGTTTTTTTTTTGTGACTATTTTTGTTGTACTCTTTTATTTATTTTTTATTCTTTGGAAAAAATGACTTTATTACAGTTCTAATATTCGGACTTACGTTAAAACGTAGTGTCTAAACTCTAGATGCATTAGTAATGAGAATTTGTAATGAAAATTTGGCAAAAAATAATTCTGCTTAATCATCATGAAAAACTTAATAGACCTTCAACAGTCTCCAATTGTTTATGCTTTTTTTGTTTGTTTGTTTTGTTTTTGTTTTTGCTTCAAGGGAAATATGACATGGACATGTTACCAAGAGATTCAGCACACACTGACCCACATAAATGTATTGGTAACACTTTACAATAAGGGTCATTAGTTAACAGTAGTTACCTGTATTAGTTAACATGAACTAAGCATGAACAATACTTCTACAGCATTTATTGATCTTAATGTTAATTTCAAAATTTACTAATACATTATTACAATCAAAAGTATTTGTTAACATTAGTTAATGCACTGTGAACTAACATGTTAACTAACATGTTAACTAACATTAACAAAGATTAATAAATACTGTAACAAATGTATTGCTCATTGTTAGTTCATGCTACTTAATACATTAACTAATGTTAACAAATGACACCTTATTGTGAAATGTTACATTTACATTTACATTTAGTCATTTAGCAGACGCTTTTATCCAAAGCGACTTACAAATGAGGACAATAGAGTGCAAGTCTAAAAGGGACAAGTGTTTTTTTTTTTTTAAGAATAGAATTAGAATAGAGAGTGCTAGAGTTAGAGGGTCAAATAAAGATGGAAGAGATGTGTTTTTGCCGATTCTTGAAGATGGCTAAGGTTACCCATGTATTAAACCCAAAACCTTTTCCCCAGGTTAGAATCATTTCCTATGGGGTCCCCTATGCCAGTCTTTATTTATAGAGGTGTGGATTCTGTATGTGATTTAGTAGTGTTTTGCCTAATGGATGTAGGCTCGTTCATGTGATTGATGGCCCTTCCAGCCTGTCAGAGATTAGGTCTGCAGTGGATAGATGGGGCCCCTGATGGATAGCTGATTATGACCATCGTGGACATTCACAACTCTTCTGAGCTGTATTGAAAGCTGTGTGACTTTGCTGCATGCCAGGTCATCCATGTGGCCCTCTTCACTCCTCACCTCTCAGGCCTGCCTTTAAACATTTATTGTACCTGCTTGTACAGGTCACCACTCCATCAGAAAACACCTGTTATTGCTACAGCTGGTCTTCTAAACTCCAGGTGTCCATAGTGAAAGTGATTAATGAGGTCGCAGAGAGCAAATATGCAGAGCTTTATCAACACAGCCATTCACAAGTACATTCACTGCCATTACTGGATAAGAAGTCAAGAGCTTATTTAAAATAATTTATTTCTTCTTAACAAGCTTTTGTACTTATGTTGGAAAAAGATGCAATTTGTTGAGGTGAATTCTGATAAAAATGTGGGTTGGGTCGGGGCTGTGTGTTTATTTTCCAGAGCCGCAGCTGAAAGGCATTGTGACACGACTGTTCAGCCAGCAGGGTTTTTACCTGCAGATGCAGCCAGATGGAACCATCGATGGCATCAAAGATGAGAACAGCGACTACAGTGAGTGATTGGAACTGCACCAAATGTGCATGCAAAGCAGAGTTAATTGTGCCACACTAATTGTATGGGGGAGACCGTGGCTTGTCACATTTTTTACCTCAGTGAACAATCCTCCGGGTTGGTTTATTTTTGAAAGTCTGTTTCTGTACAATCCTTCAGCACAATCAATAAAGTAATTGGCTAGTAGGTAAGGTTTAGTAAATTATGAGAGAATTTAAATTTTTTGGGTGAATTATCCCTTTCAAGTATTGAACATTCTTTAAAGGAAAAGTATAAGTGGTCTTTTTTGTCTTATTGTTATAGAGATAACTCTGATTTCTCATGTGAAGATTTTTTTCTACATGACTAGGTTTTTATTAGTTTTTATTTTAAACTCAGACCATCAATAAGAATGAAATGACATTGTTAAGTGAATATTTGCTTATTTTAATATATTATTGTTCTAATAACATAAAAAGTGTGAAACGTACAGTCTCCTGTGGAGGAACCTACTACAATAATAATGAACTAGCTTATCCTGACTTAATACATTTTAATGATTTCTCACAAGCATTTTTATTTTTTTTAATTTTATTATTATTTTATTCAAGAATCAATCCTGGAAAATATTCCAGAAAAATATATAGAAATAGGTAATTTTTTCCTCATATCACACAATATCGGTATTTATCACAATATTCATTAACCATTAATGGGGAAGAAAATGCTCTCCATGTGATAGACCTTGATAATGAATGTAAATATAGCTTTAATATAAATGTAGCATTATTCACACAATTAAACTCCACAGAGTAAGCTACCTTTTAATTTAGGGCCCCATGAAATTATTTTTATTTTTTCCAGATATTCTGTTTTTCATTTTATGGATTCTGTGTTTTAATGATTCAATAGAAATTTATCATAAAAATTGTGTTTAATGAAATTAGTTAATAAAACTAAATTTAATCAATCTTATAAAATGCAATCAAATGAAAACAATTAATTTACAACATTTTATCTTTTCAAATAAGATGCTGCACAACAGAACTGTATAAAAAAATAAAAAAATAACCTGGCTGTATGATATTCCTTAAAAATACTATAATATTATTATTCATAATTTGAGAATTACATTTTAATATACAGTAGTAATATATTTCTGTCATATCTTCTTCAAGTTAAAACAAAGTTTTATTTTGATGGTTTGTCATGAAGATCTTTCAGTTTTAGTTTCAGCATGTATTAGACGGCAGTTTTTGTGAAGTGATTGTCAGAGCAGCTCTTGAGATGAATTTCATGTGTTCATGTCCTCGTATATTGAGATGCAGATGCTGAAACACTGTGAGCGTAACGTTTGTTTGAGTTTGTGTGTAACAGACGAAACTGTGCCATTCATTTACACAGAGACATGAAAAACATGCAGACTTATTAATGACATGCATTGACTAGCTGCTGTCACCTTTATTTCTGTTGTGTGATCGGCTGTTTGATTAATATTGAGTGAAAATGTCCAGAGCTTATCATCATTATCCACATACATTTTTAAAGTGATCTCGATATATCGTTTATCGCCCGGCCTTAATTCAGGCTATTTATAGAGCGTGCTTGATGGGTGAATCACAAATTACATGTGGGCTACCTAGTGCCCACTGACACCATATTGGAGACCACTGGCCTAGAGGATCTCTATGGTGTCGTGCTAAAGTATTAACATTGCTTAGTAATTATTGGTGGTTCTTTTGAGGAACAGTCAGTTGTGGGCATTAAACTACTAAACCAAACTTCTGCACCCTTTTAGAATAGACAAACAATCCCCTGTGAGGCACCAGGTTCAGATCTAATTAACTGTTCTCTCCAGGGCCATGCAGGTCATCCCCATCCCATCCCCAACATCTGTGTCCAAAATAGACTTCGGTGCTGTAAGGTCCACGCAATTGGCCCAACAAAGGTATCCAACGGCGGCCGAAGGTTTCCTGCACGTTCGGTCTTTTTGGTGCTCAAAGTTATTTAATTTAAACTAAATTCTAATCTGACTCAATTTTATTATGACCTCGAATTTGGATTGAAATGCAAATTGGTTGTTTATCCATTTCTAATTCTTCTTCTTCTGACATTTCATTATTGTAATTAACTCTATATTTTACTCGTTCATTAGGAATCTATGTCGCTCAGAGGTTCTCGCTTCAGCCGGTGTACGCAGATCTCACGATCACAAACTCTCCAGTCTGATCATTAGTCAGAGGTTATGACTACTATTTAATAGACCGCCTCATGCTTGTCATTTTTTAAATAGTGGTTCTGTTTAGCCCCCTACATTCACCTATGTAACAACTTAGTTAAAGCTCAAACAATAATCAGAGGTTATGGCTAGCACTATGAAATATGCTAATAGTTCAATATTGTTTTTATCTAGCCCCCTATAGTTAATCTAACTATATAACAACTTGAATAAAGCTGAGACAATAACCAGAGGTCATGGCTATACTATGAAGTATGCCCGAACCATGCTTACTAGTACTCCAATTGTATTTTGTCTATTTTGTCTAAAATCAAATGAAACAATTTATTATCAGTCAGGTAAATATGTATAATTCCATTATTATGTATTACATAGCCAATTCAGAGAAATCTATTTAATCAATACAAAACATCAAATTCTTAAAGATAAATCTAAGAGTAAAAGGATGCGTATCTGACTTAAGAAAAATACATAGTTTGGAGTGTATGGACACACTCCACACTACGGGTTCATCTGGCTTACAGAAGTGCCCTGATCTTCTTGCAACATTTCCTTAAGTACTCAGACTAAGACAAACATCCCTCAAATGGAGACAGGAACTGGAATTTGCATTGATCAAGTCCTAGACGTGGAGAGTTTACACCTTTTGGGGACAGATGGTAATTTGCATGAAAGGCACTGGGAAATGGCACACCCTCTAGTCAAGTCAAGTCACCTTTATTTCTATGGCGATTTTAACAATACAGATTGTGTCAAAGCAACTGTACAGCATTAATTAGGAAAATAGTGTGTCAACACACACTCAATTTTCAGTTAAAGGCAGTTCATCATTGAATTCAGTGATGTCATCATCCAGCTCATTTCAGTTTAAATAGTGTCTGTGCAATCAAGTCGACGATATCGCTCGAAATTAAGTGTCCCCAACTAAGCAAGCCAGAGGCGACAGCGGCAAGGAACCAAAACTCCATCGGTGACAGAATGGAGAAAAAACCTTGGGAGAAACCAGGCTTAGTCGGGGGGCCAGTTCTCCTCTGGCCAGACGAAACCAGCAGTTCAATTCCAGGCTGTAGCAAAGTCACATTGTGCAGAGGACTCATCTGGTTCCGTGGTCTTGTCCCGGTGGCCGTCTAGGAGACAAGGTCTTCACTGGGGCTCTGTCTCTGGGGCTCTTCTAGTTGTCTTGATCGCCGCTGAAATTCAGGGCTGTAGAGGTCCTCTCTAGGTGCTGATCCACCATCTAGTGTAAACAATTTGCATTAGAAACTGGGTAGAAACACCCTGGCAACCACTCTCAACAGCCTAGCAACCTAGCAATGCCCTGGAAACACCCCATTATACGCTAACAAATGCAGCTTAGATGGAATTAAATTATCTAAGCTAACAGAGTGTGTTAAAAATTTAAAAGATTGGATGACCAATAATTTTCTCTTATTAAATTCGGATAAGACAGAGATATCACTTACTGGACCAAAAGACAGTAAACAGAATCTCTTGGATTACAATTTGCAAGTAGGTGCATTACACCTACCAGTGCATTACAATAGTCTATATTAACTCTATATTTTACTCGTTCATTAGGAATCTATGTCGCTCAGAGAACTATCTTCAATAGTTGAAGATGGTTTATTGACCATCTTCAATAAACAAGCTACAGGTAGTCCTTACCAGGTCAAGACAATATGATCATATTACCCCAATTTTAAAGTCTCTGTACTGGCTACCTATTAAGTTCCGTATCAGTTACAAAATAGTATTACTTACCTATAAGGCCCTTAATGAGTTAGCTCAGGGGTGCCCAAACTCGGTCCTGGAGGGCCGGTGTCCTGCAGAGTTTAGCTCCAACTTGCCTCAACACACCTGCCTTCAAGTTTCTAGTATGCCTAGTAGGAGCTTGATTAGCTGGTTCAGGTGTGTTTAATTGGGGTTGGAGCTAAACTC